TGAGTTCTGGGTCCCCGAGGTGGCCCCCTCCTCCCCCCAAAGCAGGCGGTCTTGGGGTCTGGGAGCCAAGGCCTTGGGCCTCTCCGCTGGGCCCTGCAGCCAGAGTGCAGCCGCCCGCCCTCCCGCACCCCTGCACCTGGGCCCCGCGGGCTCCCAGGCCCCGCCCCCGCGCCCTAGCCCCTGGACACAGCGCCCAGGACAGGGAGCCCCTGACAGCCCCCCGCCTCCCGGCCAGGCCCTCCCACCCCTCAGCACCAGCGCCGAAGCCACGTTCCCAGAGTGCCGCCCAGGGTGCCGGCTGGGGCTCCCCAGCTGGGGGCTGAGCCACCCAGTGGCGCCCACAGGTCCTATGTGAACCCCCGGCTCACCCCGCAGCTTCTCCCCTGCCCAGGGCCCCGGGCCCCTCCCGGACAGGGTCTGGCCTGGGAAGCCCAGGACCGGCCCTCCGGCAGCCCTCCTGCCGCTGCCCCACGGCCACCTCTCGACCACGCCCCTTGCTCCCGCCACGCCCGGCGGCTGCTGCCCGGCGTCCAGCCGGCACCGGCTCTCTGGGCCCTGCCTTCTCTGCCAGGGCGGGCCGGGAGGGCAACTCATTCGTGTGTCGCCGTGTGTGTCTCAGGCAGGCTCTGGGGCTCAGCCCTGGGTCTCCGGGGAGCCCCCAGCCCTGATCTGAATGGGAGGGGCAAGCACGGTCTCTCCTGGGGGACCCGGGGCAAGGGCGGCGGGAGACAGGTCAGTTGGGTGTAGGACTGAGCGGGGGGAGAGTCAGGAGGCCATGAGGCCTGGGCTGGGCTGGGCTGGGGCAGAGAGGAGGGGACGCGGCCGACAGAGGACAGGACTCCACGTCTGAAGTCGGAGCGCCAGGATGAACACTGAGGCGGCCGAGGACGGAGCTGTGCAGGCAGGAAGGACAGAGCACAGGGCGACCCCACGGCCCGCAGCGCCGGGCGCGTCCCAGTCTCGCCAGGAGCTGAGAGGGGTCTGCTTTGGGGGCAGCAGCGAGAGGAGCTGTGGGGGCCGCTTGGTCTGGGCCCACAGGCCTTGGCCACCAGCCTTCGCTGACTCCGCCAGGGGCTGGGGAGCCGGATGGGGCAGGGACAGCGGGGACCCCAGAGGGAAATCGCAAGCTGGGGCGCCAGCCTGGCCAGGGCAAGCAGGTGCGGGGGCTGGGCCCGGCTGGGCTGTGGACAGGTATCCACCCGCAGGTCCAGCCCTGGCCGGTGGGGGGCAGCAGAGAGCTCCGGGCTCCAGCCGGCCAGCAGCCCCTGCTCCGTCCGCTGGGGTGGGCGGGTGGGGTCACCTCTTGCAGATCTCATCGGCAGCCTCCTGGCTGAAGAGCTGCTGCTGCAGGACGTTGTTGAGCGCGTGGACCGCACACAGCTCCAGGCGCTGACGCTCGTGGTACACGGGGGGCGGGCTCGGCTGCGCTCCCGGGGCCTGGGACATGCTGGCCTCAGCTCCTGCTCCGGGAGCGGGGAGAGCGTGCTCGGGGGCCTGGGACTGCGAGGGGCGGGAGCCCGACCTGAGGGCTCCTTGCTGCGGCAGGTCCCCCCCTGCCCCATCCCTCGGGAAAGGCCTGCTCAGGAGAGCAACAGAGTCCACCCTGGCCACATCCCAGGTGCAGGGGACCCTATGTCGTTACCTAGCAACAGAGGAACCCCTCTTTCCTGTCGAAGGCAACAGGAGCCTTCTTTGGTTACCTAGCAACAGACACGCCTCCCCTCCCCACTAAGTGATAAATCTCTCCTCTGGTCACTTAGCAAGAGAGGACCCCCCCCTCCACCTCACTGGGTCACAGTCTCTGGTCACTTAGCAACAGACGACCCCTCCACCTCACTGGTCACAGTCCCTGGTCACTTAGCAACAGACGACCCCCCCAACCTCACTGGGTCACAATCTCTGGTCACTTAGCAACAGAAGACCCCCACCTCACTAGGTCACTGT